AAGGTGTGGACTGAGATATTCTACAGTTTCCAATCTTCAATGTACTTTAGTAGAAGTCATCTGGTTGGGGAGGCAGGCAGTGGGTGTGGAGAGAAACCGTTCCTCGGAAACTTTTGCAATATCACAACTGATGTCAGGCCACACGAATGAAGATATTAAACAGGAAAACAAGTTTAAAAGGATGCATGATCTGTAAAGTAAAATACAATTTGCTAAATCTATTTAATATCAAGCAAAGGGATCAAAAAAACCAAATGATTTAAGTCAAATGACAGAAATTTTAGAATATTGTATCAAGTAACAACATACTTTGTGAAGCTAATTAGTTGCATTCCATTGATGACCTTTTCAGTCTGATTAGCACACAACCCATTCCTCTCTGTAGAGCTGATCATCTGGTACTTCTAGTCTTAAATTGATTTCCTAACCCTCAATGCAGGCATCATTGAAAAGGAGGCCATCGATGTATCACAAACTGCTTTTGCTGGCACATCATTCCATAGACTTACAACTGCTAAAATGAGATCCAAAGCCCCTGTGACCAACTCAAAAGGAAAGTGTAATTCTTTACACCATTATTGCAACTAAAAGTCATCAACAAACATTCATATAAGCTAAGACACAAACCTACACTTCTCAACTACTCAATAGTAAAAGACGCCCTGCTGAAGTTGGTTCTTTGAAACGATGAGCCAGTTACATCAAGTGCCATTGACAGAAAATACATATGAGGCTAAGGGTGACAGTGGAAAAGGATAATGAACAATCCAGACTAAGAATAATTAACTGGGAGAAAACCAATAATCAGTGGACTAAGAACCGAGCTGGTTTGAAAATATTGAAGTTAAAGGTTGGCAGACAAAACAGTTGCTAAACAATGGGATACTTTCAAAGGATGGGGCAGGCACAGTCAAATTCTATTCCCTTGAAAGGAAACGATACTGCCAGCAAATCCAAGGCTTCCTGAACAAAGGGAGGGAGAAATTATGATAAATAAGAAACAGTGTGTTTACAATAGATGTCAAGTAGAAAATACAGTTGAGGACCAGGCTGAATATAGAAGGTTCAGATGGGGTGGTGAAAAAGCAAATAGAGAGAAGTAAAGGAGGAGTATGAAGAGAGACTGGCAGCTGATAATCAAAAGAGAATCCTTTTCCTCATCACCACCTCCTCCAGAGCAATCAGGGATGAGCAAACAATAAATGCTGGCCAAACCAGCAACATGCACATTCCATGAATGTTTTAAAAATTTATGTTTGAATCTTTTAACTATCAACCCACTACCTCCTTTTAAAAATCTGCAATTCCCACAACTCAAAAGAAACAGCATTCACTTGTTTCTAAACTAGTAGTCTGACACAAAATCACATTTAAAAAGTCTATGCTTTTGATCAATTTGGTTCTTAAATCATTGAATATCACTTTTATGTGCATGTATTCAGTAACAACAGTAAAATGAAACCTGTAATATATTTGACCACAAATAGGTAAAGGAGCAGAAGTAGCCCATTTGGCCCATTGAGTCTGCTCTCCCATTCAATGATCCAATCCCAGCATGCGTCCAGGGCAGCACGGTGGCTCAGTGGTTAGCACTGCTGCCTCACAGCGCCAGGGACCCAGATTCAATTCCACCCTTGGGCCACTGTGTGTGGAGTTTGCACATTCTCCCCGAGTCTGCGTGGGTTTCCTCCGGGTGCTCCGGTTTCCTCCTGCAGTCCAAAGATGGCCATGCTAAATTGCCCATCGTGTTCAGGGATGTGTAGATTAGGTGGGTTATGGGGGATGGGATGCTCCAAGGGTCGGTGTAGACTTGTTGGGCCAAATGCCCGTTTCCACATTGTAGGGATTCTATGAGAATTAGATCATGGTTAATTTGATAATCCTCAACTCCACTTTCCTGCCTTATCCCCATACATTTAGGTAAATGTCCAGAGAATGAATGTTTTAAGTTTATAGTCAATAAGTCTCAACTTCCTTACAAAAATGTCTTTTTAATCTGACATAGTAAAGGGAATGATGAAAACTACAAATAGACCATGCTACATAAGCCCAGAGAACATAAATAACATGTCAGAGTCAAGGGTATAGATCAGTAATGTTTCCTGTATGACCCAATTTATTATTAATTCTCCAGAGTTTGATACACTTTGAAATCTAGCACTTGAGGGTCATTAAGCAAGGGGATTGGGTGGCATTTATTGCTAGTCTTGGTGGGAGTCGGGTTGCAAGATCAACTAAATGTCCATTCGGTCATGCCCATCACAAAAAAAAAACAGACTTTAAAGAGATCTCACAGCTGTTCACATTCAGAGTTCAACAACAGCTATTGCTGCCTCAGCTCATGACCACAAAATCTCATTCAGGACCCATGCCCCTCAGGACCACTTTGTTATTGAAACCCTAAGATACATAAGCATTACTGCAAATTGACTAAGTAAACTTAAACAGATGAACACAAAAGGCCATGGGTAAACTCCTGCCCTATGACTTATTGGTATCAGGCTACAGTTTACAACATTATTCAATACCCATTTGGGAAAATCCCAGCCTTCAGTGATAGGTGACGCCTCCTAATCCAAATCAACAAACTACACTAACTGATCAAACCTACTGTAGAATTACTAACTCTCCAAGTCCACTTCAAGATGTTAATGTTTTGTGAATTTCACATCAGGCACGGTCTTCGAACAAAAATCAACTCCATTCTATGAGTTGAAGTGGAGAATCATGAGGCATGATTGATTGAGGTGACGTAATGGACCAGGAAGATAGATTAGGACTCATATAGCTTCTTACACAAACACTGGTGGTCCCAAACCACTTCAAACAAAATACATAATTGATTGTGAAGTTCTATCACTGTTGGAAGGCAGGAAATACACCAGCCAATTTAGCACAAAGCCCCCTCCCCCACCCCGCCAACCAACAATTATAACGATTAGATAATCATTTTTTTAAAAACAATGGTGATTAAGAAATAATTATTAGCTGGGACACCAGGGACAACTCCCATATCTGCTTTGAATTTGTGGCACAGGATCTTCCACATGCATCAGGGAAGGCAGCTGATACCCTGAATAACACCTCATCCAAACACCTGGAAACTCTGATAATGCAGCACTCCTTTGGTACCGCACTGGAATCTCAGTCCAGATTTTACAGTCGAGTCTTGAAGTGAGACTTGCTTGTAGAACTTTCAAGTTTGAGTCAGTATTATGACACACAATACTGGAATACCAAAATTTGTGGCAAAGAATGTGAAGTTTAAGATACTGTCAAATAAAAATCATGAGCAACAGAGTTGAAGCTAAAACATGAAACCAGAAAATACAAGTCAAATAGTGGATTTACCTACAAGATGAAACAAAGAGTTAGATATTCACCAGCATTATGCACACTGATCACAGGCCTCCAAACTTAAATTATCAGCACACATCTTGTTAATCTTCACAATTGCTGAAAGCATCCCATTGTGAAAGCACCCGCTGCTCTTAAGAAGACAAAGAGTGCAGTTTTGTTCTGTAGTTATTAAAATGTCAATTTTAAGACCAAAGGATTGCCCAGTGCCCATGAGAAAGATGACAAGATGTCAATTCAAATCACTATATCTTCACAAGTCTTTTATATTCTAAGTGATCTATAAATATGGTTCAGCCAGAACTAATTATACAGAAAAAACATCAATTTTTGACCCCTTGATGATTTGTTCCATTACGGCATTTATTTTAAATCACAAGATTCAAAACCCAGCTAAGGCTTCAGTACATCATTTCCACTGGTATTTTAGTAAGAGGGATGCAATATTAGCAGTCTGGTCTTTCAGATAGTTGTTTTAACAGCCTGTCTGTCCAGACGTGCGTGAAAGATCCTGTGGCACTAAATCAAGAAGAGTGGGGCTTTTTTTTTTAAGAAAAAGTAGAAAAACAAAGAACTAAAGAAGCTCAGCAAGGCAGTCAGCGCTTGTGAAGAGAAAACAAGGTTAACATTTCAAAACTGAAAGCAGTTCGGATATGGTGGTATTCAAACTGATGAAAGAGGGATAGGAGAAAGAGGAGTGTAGAATATATGGAAACAGAACCCATCCGACTCTCCTCTCCACTCCACCCCATCATCAGCATAAATACAGGGCACCTCTATTTACCAGCTACTTTCAGTTTTCACCAAGGGTCACAAAACATGAAACGTTAACTGTTTTCCTCTGCAGCCTCACGAGTAGAGTTTCTCTTCTACTGTTCTTTGTTTAAGATTTCCAACATCCACAGTTTGGCTATGAGTAAAAACAATCTCTACAAAAGGTATCATGTTTATACATTGAAAATTGAGCTCGCTTGCAAAGTTAAAGCCCCGCAATATGACAGATTCGGCATAAACTTGAGTAATTTCCTGACTTTTTTACAACTCCAAGGCAGTAATATACATTCACTTCTCCTTCATTTTTCCCCCCCCGAAACTTGACTCATAGAATCAAGAACGTAAATGTTCATTTAGAAGGCGGCTCAAGATTATTTTCTACGATTAAAGTTGCCATCGAGCACAAGGACCTACAACAACTAGCCCATGAGGACCACATACAAGACAAGACATGTAACACAGAAACAGGCCATTTCGCCCAGCCAGTTTATGCCGATAAAAAGGCAACTGTAAGCTGTGCGCCAAACAAACTGATGACCACAACTCAAAAATATATTCAGGAAATTTTCTAGCATTTACAGTAAGCTTGCATGATCCCGTTCCCTGGATAAAAGATGTAAGTTAGTTTGAAGGTTTCCATTTTTAGAAAAAAAAATAACAAGATCATGAATTGGGCCAATCTAGGATAAGGCCCTCAAAGGCGAGTCGGTGTTGGAACTGCGTATTTCAAACTACAAGTCAGCGACCCATCTGCGCATACTCATCTTTGGCCCCTCCACTGTTTGTTCGCCCACCTTCCTCCCTTCCCTTAGACATACATTTTTTAAAAAAAAAAGCTTTCCACAGGCCCTGGTCCAGGACAAACTTACCTCAACAAAATCTCCAGAGAACTGTCGTGTTTGTCGAGCGCCCTACAGACTGCACTTTTCCGAAGGTTGTTCAGCTCTTCAGCCGCCTTGATGTACTCGGCCTGTGATTCCCCACTCGAGTAAGTGGCGTGGATAAACTTGGAAAGCGGCTTCGCAAGGTCCACTTCGGACGATTTCTTCAAAGGCACCGAGACGAAAGTAGTCGCCATCGCCCCCGAAGCCGTTGAAAGCGGAGAACCCCCTGCTCTCAACGTCGCCCCAAGAATTACTTCCGGGATGACGTTAGCTCGTTCCCCTTGCACTGCCAGTGTGTGGGCAGGAAGTGCAAGGTGATGAGTTACAGGGCTGTGTTTGTATTTTTTTGGAGCCACTTACGCAAATCGAAATATGAAATGCTAATGTTTCTTGAACACATTTAGAATGTTCTTCACAAGACTTGCTTGGACAAAGGTCTGATATTGAAGGGTAGCTGAGGAAAGAGGAGTGTGGCTAATCGAGAGGAGACGGAACAAAACTCTGGCAAAATGTAATCACTATATTTTATGACATAGAAACCGATCATACGACCCGATGCAGGTATTCAAAATCTTCAGGTTTGTTTGAAGTTTCCTGAATGAGTTTTTAAAAATCACGTTTCTGTTTCATCACAAACCTGACAAAAGAGCTTCACAAGTCTGCGCAAAGAAGTTTTACCTCTCTTGAACTGGCCCTTCTTGTCAATGCCACAAAAACTGCGATCAGGTGCTCTGTGCTCTTTGACCCACCGTTTTAAAACTATATCAGGATTTTGTGCTGGACCATTTCATGACTGAACGCCATAGCGTTAAAACATTTGAAAATTTTAAAAAGTTGTACGTTTCACAATGGTATTTCAGTCAGAGATATACATATAAATATCCTTAGCGATATATACTAAAACGAGTGTTTTAGACCAAGCGCATCATTACCACTGCTCACTATAAAAATCAACCACACTTTGCTGAATTATTTTGGATCTCCACACCAAATATGGAGTAGGGTGTTTTCATGTGAACAATACATGCAAATACTGGAAACCAAACTACCTCATATCCTGCCATGGCCATGTAAGCTGTTTTCCCATCATTCACTGGCTGAAGTGACAGATAAAATAGGGATGTAAAGAAGGTGAGACAACAAGGTGCAGAGCTGGATGAACACAGCAGGCCAAGCAGCATCAGAGGAGCAGGAAGGCTGACGTTTCAGGCCTAGACCCTTCATCAGAAATGGGGGGGGGGAAGGGGGTTCTGAAATAAATAGGGAGAGAGGGGGAGGCAGATAGAAGATGGATAGAGGAGAGGAAACAGACAGGTCGAAGAGGTGGGGATGGAGCCAGTAAAGGTGAGTGTAGGTGGGGAGTTAGGGAGGGGATAGGTCAGTCCAGGGAGGATGGACAGGGGGCGGGATGAGGTTAGTAGGTAGGAGATGGGGGTGCAGCTTGAGGTGGGAGGAGGGGATAGGTGGGAGAAAGAAGGTGTTTGATATGCTTGCTTTCATTGTTCAGAACATTGGGATGTCGTGTTGTGGCTGTATTGAATAGTGATTTAGGCCACTTTTAGAATACTATGCAAAATTCTGGTCACCCTTCAGTAAGAAGAATGCTGTAAAACTTGAGAGGGTGCAAAGGTGTTACTGGGACTGGAAGGTTTGAGTTGAAGGAAGAAGCTGAATAGGCTGGGCATTTTTTTACCCTGGTATGTTGGAGGCTGAAGGGTGACTTTTGTAATGGCTTATAAAATCCTGAGGGGTGTGGACTGGGGGAATAGCCAAGGTCTTTTTCCTGTGGTGGGGGAGTCCAAAACTAGAGGGCATAGATTTATGGTGAGAGGGGAAAGATTTATAAAATGGACCTGAGGGGTAACATTTTCACGCAGAGAGTGGTGCATGTATGGAATAAGCAAACAGAGGAAGTGGTGGAGGCAGGTACAATTACAATATTTAGAAGGCAACTGGATGGTATATGAATAGGAAGAGTTTAGAGGATATAGACCTAATGCTGGTAAATGGGACTAGCTCGCATCGGAATGTCCGGTCAGCGCGGACGAGTTGGATCAAGGAGTCTGTTTCTGTAATGTATAACCTTATGACTCTATAAGTTACCTACTGTACAGCAGGAATCTGGTGATGTTTAGAAATCATTGTCCGATCATTTGGTGCAGGATGCATATGTTAAAGCCGACTACTCTACAGTACAAATGCAAAACACAGATCCACAGTAACAAAATATGCCGCTATACAAAAATTCAAGTTCTTCCCTTTGCACCACACACAAATATTGGCTTGCAGCATTTGCCTCAGTAATCTTTCCAACTCAGTTCCTGATCGAATATACTCTACTTCTAGCTGTCATGCTTTTCCCTCCAGCTTGGCATACCCATGACCATCTACAGCAGGAGCTTCCAAATGATTTCTCAGTGTGAACCCATTTCATTGCCTCAGGTTTCATGTAACTCCACAGTGAAATTTGGGGATATGAGGTTGTTAAGTGGTGAAGTGGATGAGATGGGCAACAGATGATTGTGATAGGAAGCGTTCAAACTGCAGGGATTTCTTTCTAAAAATGAAGTGTATGTTCCCATTGCCAAAATTGGCTGCTGTTACATGCACAGTTGTGCCCATGATATCACACCAGTGCAACATTAAATTTTAACCTGGTTATAAGATCTGGGGAAACACTGCTATTATAATCAGTCAGTAAAGAGTACCTCTTTAGGGAGAGTTCTTAGCTTCAATTAACAAAAGGCTGATTAACTGCCAGACAACATATATTTAAGGTAGCATCTATTAGATTTCTGATTTCCAATGCATTTTGTTGGCCGACCATCACATAGAGGATGACCAGCAGGTCTACAAGAACACATGTAAGCTGAACGTGAAACTGTTGACCCCAGAAAACATTGAGGAGCTCAAAAGGGATTTCACAGGTTGGAGAACCATGAAGCCCCTCTTTGAGACTCCATCAGACCGGTGGAAAACAGTCAAGTGGAACATCAAGAAGTTCTTTATCCTCAAAGGTGTTCAGAAGACCAGAGAGAGAGATGGGAAAACTGTCCAAACTCCAGAAAAACATGCAGAACCTACTCCTGCTGCAGACAATGGGGGTCGATGTCACAGAGGAGCCTCGCTTTTCGTCTTGGAGGCCTCCAAGATAAACTTCTGGTGTATGGTCCGCACCGTGGAGCACGATGAGATGTGCTCGCATTTTTTCTTCCAGAAGGTGCACAAGAAGAGGTCTGTACTCAGTAGCCTGAAGGAAGAAATGGCTTGGTCATGTCATCAGTCTGACATACCGAGGATCAGCAAATCCTTTTATGCCAATCTGTAATGACACAAAGTCCACAAACAGCGCAGCCTCTCTGTCGTACCTGTCCTCTGTCATGAAGATCTTAGATAACAGTATGTGGGAGAGGCTGATCAGCCATTATCTTTGGATGAGCTGACAAAGGCCCACTAGTCCTTGGAAAGCAAAGGCTTACTGGCTGAGTTATATTCGGCTCTGTGGGACTTGATTGGCCAGGACCTGGTGGAGGTGTATGACAGTATGCTTCTGTCAGGTAGCATGTGCGAATCGATGAGGAAAGGTATCATCACCATCATCTACAAGCAGAAGCGGGACAGGGAAGAAACTAGAAATTAGTTACCAATTTCACTTGTAAATGCAGATTACAAGATCCTATCTAAGGTCATCGTCAACCGTGTCAGGTCTGCTCGGGGATCAGTGATTCAACCTGACCGAATCTGTGTTGTACCAGGCAGGATGATCTCTGAGAGCCTTGCGCTCGTCAGGGGCACAATTACCTACATGCAGGACAGTGGGGTGGATGCCTGCCTCATCAGCCTGAACCAGAAGAAGGTCTTTGACAGGATATTGCACAAGTACATGTGGGACATGGAGTCAAAATAGACTCTGGGGAGGGAATTCACAACTGGATCCCAACTGCTTTACACCAACATCGATGGTGCAGCCTCAATCAATGGATAGGAATCAGAAAACTTCCTGATCAGATCCAGAGTCAGGCAGGCCTACTCACTGTCTCCTACCTTGTTTATGTGTTGTATAGAGCCTTTCGCTGAGTCCATCAGGAAGGATCCTGAAATGGGGGGCTGTTTTCTGCTCACGTCCACTGTGTCATAAGCATCTGCGACCAGTTCAAACTGGCCTCGGGAGCCAAAGTAAATCGAGTCAAGAGCGAGGTCCATGTTCTTTGGAAACTGGGTTGACCAATCCTTTATCCACTTCACCATCAGGACAGATTACCTGAAGGTGCTGTTTCGGAGGCCTGGGGTGTGTGCAAAGTCTTGGGAGGAATGCATTGCTAAGGTGAAGCAGAAACTGGTCTTTTGGGAGCACTGCTCCCTCTCCACTGCAGATAAAAACCTGGTCATCAGGTGTGAGGCACTCTCTGCTGTTGTATGTGGCACAGGTCTGGCCCATTCCCGAAACTGCATCGTTGCAGTCACCCAAGTCATCTTTCATTTTATCTGGAGGTCTAAGATGGACCTGGACTGCAGGGACTCCATGTACAAAACTCTGGATAAGGGTGAGAAGAACATAACTAACACTGCCCTCATCCTGATGGCCACCTTTGTGTGCAGCTGCATCAAACTGTGCATAGCCCCCAGTAAGCAACCAACAAGTATCACTACGTACTGAGGTTCAAAACGTCCCCGATATTGCAAAGGATGGGACTGGCCTCGTTGTTGCGAAACGCTCCAAGTAGTTGGACCATTCCGTACCACCTATCCTTCATGGAGAAATTTGCAAAGGAAAAACATCTTTGACTGTAAGTCCATCAGGAAGTCATCAGCACATAGCATCCCCAAGACCCTGCAGGTAAAGGAGAAGGATGGATTCAGTTGCATGGTTTCCTGAGCAGATTGTCAAAGTCATTTGGCAGCATGCCTCATCACCAGAACTCTCCAACAAGCACAAAGACATCGCTTGGCTGATGGTGAGAAGGGCACTACCTGTGAGGTCCTTCGTGTACACCCGGTTGGTCTGCGCCACCACGTGCTGCCCTCGAAGCAGCTGTGGGGGGGATTCAGACTGTCATATATTTTCTTCTGCCATGTGCTTTTGCAAACGAAGTCTACAGAAAGATGCAGTGGTTTTTGTAGAGGTTCGTCAAAAGCAGCTCCGTGCCACACAACTCTGTGCTCTATGATCTGTTCACAGAAAGGCACACCGAGACAAACATCAGTTGTGCCTAGAGGACCATCAACTCAGTGAAAGATGCTTTTTGGGCTGCCCGAAACTTGTTGGTCTTCCAGAACGATGTGTTGCCCCTGACTGAGTGTTGCAGACTGGCACATTCCAAGGGCCAGGGCTATGTGCTGAGGGATACACAAAAGCTTGGGGAAACTGCTGCCAAGGTGCGATGGGGAAAGACCACTGTCTGAGGTCTTCCTGCTGAAGTTAAAAGGGGGTCTGTTATCAGACCCTCCTGGTGTCTCAAATGCATGTAAATATAGTCTTGTATGTGTAAAAGATATCTTTGGTTAGTTGGATAGAGTCAAAATCGAATGTTTTTGTTTCTTTGATATGCTACTGCACAGAACTGAACTGCATTTGTGACTATGTATATACATAAAGATATTTTTTATGAAGGAAGTATATTTTTGAAATTTAAAAAATGAGGCAGACCAAAAGAGTGGCCTGCAGTTAGTTCCTGATGGAAAAAGAAGAGTGACATAACAGAAAGTCTAAGGTCAATATTTGGTTTTGGAAAAGGAAGATTTGAAGGCAGCAAGGTCAAACTAAATTTTAAATCAAGACCTGACACAGCCGCTTGTGTATTAGGAGTGAGTATCTGTTAATTGGTTGGAGTCTATTCTACTCTCAAGTCTTAATGTAGTATATAGATTGGTGGTAAAGTGTAATACGTAAAAAGAAAT